AAAAAAAAAAAAAAAAAAAAAAAAAAAAAAAAAATGATGATTGATATATTTTAGAAAACTTGTATCATTATCGTTCAAAGATTAAAAAAGTTCATATAAAACATAAAAAAAATCTATACTAACGGCTTACACATAACACATAATTATTTCCTCTCATTGTAATACGATAATCCATGCATATGATCCAACTGAACTATCAGTAAGTGGATATTGACAATACAACCACTAATGTTTGCAAGATAATGGCGTTAGTGTATATATATAAATATCACGTTGATTCACACGTTCTTCAGAACATAATACAGTTTCACATGTATTTCTTAAACTCGTAAATGTTGTATCTCTCACATTGCACTGCACTGTGCTGGTGTTTTTTTTGTTGTTTTTAAAAAAAAAAAAAAAAAATAGGGGGGGGGGGGTGTTTTTTTTTTTTGTTTTAAAAAAAAAAAAAAAAAATAGGGGGGGGGGGTGGTTTTTTTGACGACTCCGTAAGTGTACGTAGTAATGTTAGTTCATGCATTAAGGAAGTCAAACTTTGACCGGAACGATTCGCCTGACTGGCTGTCGTTAGCCACAACAGAACATTCTGTGCCTCCGAAAGTCAGACTAACATCAATTTTCTGGGACAAATTGAGGTCCGTGTTACGGGTCAGAATTACCTCCCCTAGCAGACAGCAGCCATCGTCTGTTACAAACATCGGATCAGACGCGGTGGATCTGTAAACGCGAACGCGATTGGACGAACATCCTTTCGCTGCACTAAACGACAATGTCTGTGAGTTGTCCACATCCATGGATTCACCACATTCGACGTATTTGTGGAATACGTCTGTGCAGATAACTCCGTTTTGTGTGACTTTCTTTTTTTCTATTGGATGATGTCCCTCAATGAACGGTTTACTGATGGCGATACCGTACGTAAACTTAGCAACTCGGGCACTGATGTTCTTTGGTTCGTGGCCGAATATAACTGCCCCTTTCAAGACGGCCAATCCACATTCCGCAGGAACAACGATCTTTACTCGTGGAAATTTTCTTTTCATTGTTTCCTGCACTATTGGAGATTCAGAAAAACCACCAACGAGAAGTAGGGTCGATGTCCCTCTTACCTCTGGCTTGGCAAGTATGCATCGGATATGGTCTTCAAGGTGGACTAATGGATCCCGGAACATGCCCTGTATGAGGTTAGGTTTTATCCTGATTTTGTCAGCTATGGGAGTGACGTCATCGCTGTACGTCGAATCAGCGAGAGCTTCGCGGAATGTCATCTTCTTCTTTGTTTCGAACAACTCGGTCAAAGCGAGGGGAAGCCTAAAGTTCACGCTGCTTTCCATTGTTTCTTTGACGTTCCTCTTTTTTACTTCAAACTCTCGAAGTAGATCTATGTAGTCTGCCGGGTGCTCTCTCCGGAATGCTTCCATGACGTCATCTCCAACAATAGCACACAAAAGTCGGATGAAAGAGGCGTCAACTCTAGTTCCTCCCCAGGCGCCACCAGAGGCTTTGTGAAGCTCGCGCAGACTCCCATCCTCTACAACCTGATGTACATTGATGTCTGCTGTACCGCCTACATGTAAAAGGACATCATATAAATATCAGCAAATAGAAGATAAGAAATCCTAGGATAATGACTCTTAGATTTATGTTTGAGCCTTGCAAATCACAATGTGTCCGACTTTAAAGTTTTGACCTGTCTTACTAGTGGTGTATTCAAGAATAACGGTGGATGATACCACGTGAACTTCAGCCGAACTAAAATGCATATATTAACTACTGAGGCATGCGTTTTTGAAAACATGTATATATATTTTTCAAATCCTCTACTAATATCTTTTGAATTAATCGTTATTTATCCTATCATTATTATATTTAAAAGTTTCGTTCATATTTGCATATAAAGTCATTATATACCTAAATTATGATGTTTTGTTATCTGTATATTACGCTAGAACGTCAACAGTTCTATTGATTTTATCAAATAAACTAACAACTTACCTCCTAGGTCAAGGACCATGTATTTGGAACCAGGCATGAAAATATCAGAACCCTTTGCATCTGGTAGATGTCGGCAGCATACAGATGCAGCTTCTGGTTCTAATGCAATCAGCAGCTGGTCGTTCATAATCTCCGCCTGCAGGTGATATGGAGATAGAGTTAACACATACCGTAGTTGTAAAGACATAAGTACACTTAACTACCTTGTATCCAAGTTGGTGGTACTTACAGTTCCATTTCTAGGTGTAACATAATGTTCCAGTGGCTAGATGTACCACCAAAATCTAAAGGGACAATACAAGTATAAACGTTACTTAATTTAAACACTAATGACGAATGAACGCTTCAGCTTATTCGAGCAAAACATAATGATTCGAGAATTGATATATTCTTTACGGAACGACATAAAGGAACATACCTTCTGAGCCGCCTCCCGCATGAACTGTTTGGCGGCATCCGACCAAATAGCGGGTACCGTCACCACCCATCGTATCTCCCACTCCTCGAAACTCATCCCTCTTGTATTAATTAACTCCTCGGCGTGGTTCTTAAGAAATCTAATGCCAGAAGCAAAAACTGTTTTGGCTTTCATTGATTTGCCGCTCTCATCCTCAATGAGTGTATCCCTGTTAAGATCCTGCAGTCAAATAGAAAGTATGTACAGGTACATGTGTATGTATGTAAGGCGGGCAGCGTCAATTAGGTAATACAGTTCATGAAGTAAGTCGTAATAAACATTTGCAGAGTGGACAGCAAGAAACAATATTAAGTTTAAAATAATGATAGTAACACATCGAAGAACGGTGGACAAATAAGCGTACCCATGTTGTATTACAACGGCATAATGCATCCTATCAAAGAGATATTTACAATAGAGGAAGTATTTATGAAGGTGTTTTCGACATAAATCAGGTTCTTTGACTTTGTCAGAATGCTTTTTTTGTTTGTTTATCAAGTTTTTCAGTTATTTTGTTTTAATTGACAATGTACCTTATTTTTGTGCAGCGACATTTTAAATTGCTTAAAGAAGTAGTACTCGTGGTGCATGTTATCCAAGGCGAGGTTGGCGTACTTATCCTCGGCCTCGTAGCCAAAGTTTACGAACTTCTGGTCCTTGTCAAATAGTATACAGGTCGGACACTTTAGGGACAAAAGACCTGCTGAAGCCGCTATCCAGGCACTGTTAGCTGAGATTTTCGTGGGGTCCTAGAAAGAAAAAAAATGCGTCCATATATATGTATGTTTCTATTGACACATTTCAAAAGTAAAATAAAAAAAGAACCACTGGTAGAGAAGTTCCGTGTGAGCATATCAAAAGATCATCCACTGAATAAAAGTTAATATTCAGAATTTTACAGTTGATTAAATTGCAAGTATATACAAAATGATACGATATCCAGTATCTCCATTTACTGCATTATTCAAAAGAGTTAAAATAGGCATACATTCATATTGGCGCAGTTGATATTTTGTGATGATAGAAAGGCGACGCTCTGAAGGGGAACAAAGTGACATCATTTGGTATATACCTTACCTTCTGGTATTCTGAGGTCGTTGAAAAAGCGTACCCCGAGTACGTGGTACCGAAGTCAATGGCCACCACAACCTCGTGTTTGGAAGTCATCTTTTCTATTAAACACGACAACATTGTTACATGCATGTATGTCAAGTCCAACGCAGGGCGCTTGGTATTAACCGATACGTACAGTATATGGTAATCAAACAATAACTGTTAGTCCATCAATCTCCCATTGTTGTATAATATGTTTTAGGCTTTAGTAAGATTATGCTACCTCCATTCATGTGCTATTTTATATAAAGGGTGTAACTTTCCTAATTTCCTAATTGAGGATAATTTGTATTGGGTGATCGAGTGGTGCAGTGGATAGCGCACTTGCCTTTCATCAAGGCGGTCGGGGTTCGATTCCCCGATCCGACGTGAAAGGTGTGAGGTCACCTCCCCGAGCACGTGGGTTTTCTCCGGGTACTCCGGTTTCCTATCACAATAAGACACCCCCCCCCCCCCCCCCCCCCCCCCCCCCCCCCCCCNCAATATAAGTTGAAATTACTTGCTTCATAATGGTTGTAAAATAAATAAAGTTTATATTTAACCTTCCTAATTTCCAGAACATTTAAATTGTGGGCAAGATTTCATGAACACTAAAAAAACTTGACACTATAATGAAAAAATACTTTGTAAACTCAACCTTGATTGATTAAGTTACTCACATTGATTCTACCTTTTTAATGTTTATGAAATCTTCTACACAAAGCAAGATAAAAATATATTGATCGTGACTTTAAGGCACTGTAAAGGATCGATCACGGCTATTTAATACGCAAAACAGATGTATTTCAAAAACCATAATAGCCCTTTTTTAACGCCGAATCCTATTTGTGCTTATTCTATTTTGCCCAAACATTACAAACTAGCGATGCAACAGCATAGTCATTAATACTTCGTCAGGAAAATCTAGGCAGAAGCGTTCAGTTCCCACAAATTCAATGTAGAATGATATTGCTTAATTGATCGGTATTATCATTCGTTTCGTTTGGCACATCTAAAACGAGAAGAAAAATACAATTTTAATATATAATACACCATTAGATTGGGATAATACACTAGTAACTAATAAGAGGATTTAAACTACTTTCGTTTTCAATAACATTACGGTTGTTGTCGTTTCGTGGGGAAATTCCACATTTGTTATTGAGCTGTATGTAAATATATTCATGCATTTAAGTTACGAAGTGATAACAAAATCATAATCGTCAAAGTTGCATACTTTCACTGTGTTTGTGAAATGAACACTTGGAATGCAAAGCGAGGAAACACCTATTTAACAGGCAGTAATTCGACGCAAATAACCGAGGCCAATAAACAATTGGCATATTGATTAAATCTACTTTCGTTTTAGGTTATCATATGCTGCCATTCGACTTTGCAGAAAATAACCCAAAAGTTTACAATACTCAATAGAAAAATATCCTCACCTATATTAATACTATTCCAGACAAGTGTCTAACATGGAAAACTCCCAATTTTGTATTAAAACAATCAATCACAACACTTGAGCATATACACAGGTATCAACATTACACGAACAAAGACGTGTAAAATCAGTCAGTATTTCTGATGACTTGGTGCAGGATAAGACATTCCCTGACAGTGTTACTATTTCGTTATGATACAAAATCGTCTATATATGCATGTACCTACCAGTGTTATTTGACAGCGGTATTTGTCGTCGTCGTACGTTGTCAACACTGACAACACTAGACCGATTTAGTAGGTCTAGTTCACGACCTTCTTTGTTGACACGATAAACAATTCTAGGAATTCCTAATAAGGGGTGTATAGAAACGAGGTAGTGTCGTAGGCAGAAGGAATTGATAAATCAGGTGTGTACGGAAACGAGGTAGTGTCGTAGGCAGGAGGAATTGATAAATCAGGTGTGTACGGAAACGAGGTAGTGTCGTATACGTAGGCAGAAGGAATTGATAAATCAGGTGTGTATGGAAACGAGGTAGTGTCGTAGACAGAAGGAATTGATAAATCAGGTGTGTACGGAAACGAGATAGTGTCGTAGACAGAACGAATTGATAAATCAGGTGTGTAAAAAAACGAGGTAGTGTCGTATACGTAGGCAGAAGGAATTGATAAATCAGGTGTGTATGGAAACGAGGGAGTGTCGTAGACAGAAGGAATTGATAAATCAGGGGTGTACGGAAACGAGATAGTGTCGTAGACAGAACGAATTGATAAATCAGGGGTGTAAAAAAAACGAGGAAGTGTCGTTGGCAGAAGGAATTGATAAATCAGGGGTGTACGAAAACGAGGTAGTGTCGTAGACAGAACGAATTGATAAATCAGGGGTGTACGGAAACGAGGTAGTGTCGTAGGCAGAAGGAATTGATAAATCATGTGTGTACGGAAACGAGGTAGTGTCGTAGGCAGAAGGAATTGAAAAATCAGGTGTGTATGGAAACGAGGTAGTGTCGTAGACAGAAGGAATTGATAAATCAGGGGTGTACGGAAACGAGGTAGATAAAGTGTCGTATGCAGAAGGAATTGATAAATCAGGTGTGTACGGAAACGAGGTAGTGTCGTAGACAGAACGAATTGATAAATCAGGGGTGTAAAAAAAACAAGGAAGTGTCGTAGGCAGAAGGAATTGATAAATCAGGGGTGTACGCAGAGACGTATAATACATTATACGTCACTGGTGTACGGAAACGATGTAGATCAGGGATGTATGGAAACGAGGTAGTGTCGTAGACAGAAGGAATTACTAATAACCGGATCAGGTGTGTATCGAAACGAGGTAGTGTCGTAGACAGAAGGAATAACTAATCAGGGGTGTACGGAAACGAGGTAGTGTCGTAGGCAGAAGGAATTGCTAATCTGGGGTGTACGAAAACGAGGTAGTGTCGTAGGCAGAATTAATTTATTAATCAGGGGTGTACGGAAACGAGGTAGTGTCGTAGACAGAAGGAATAACTAATAAGGGGTGTACGGAAACGAGGTAGTGTCGTAGGCAGAAGGAATTCCTTATCTGGAGTGTACGGAAATTAAACGAGGTAGTGTCGTAGACAGAATTAATTTATTAATCAGGGGTGTACGGAAACGAGGTAGTGTCGTAGACAGAAGGAATAACTAATAAGGGGTGTACGGAAACGAGGTAGTGTCGTAGGCAGAAGGAATTCCTAATCTGGAGTGTACGGAAATTAAACGAGGTAGTATCGTAGACAGAATTAATTTATTAATCAGGGGTGTACGGAAACGAGGTAGTGTCGTAGGCAGAAGGAATTGCTATACTTGGGTAAACGGAAACCTGGTACATGTAGTGTCGTAGGCAGAAGCACGAAGATTCGGATTTTATAAGTTCGTTGATTTGGTTCTATAGGAATAATCATTTGAATCTCAAATAGAGTTTTCTAGAATTTGGATTTTGAAATATGATGCCAATACCAGAGCCAATTAATTTTGTCAAAGTAGGATATAGAGTTATGTGTAATAAATCAACATATTTGCAGCACTCTTATATCAAAGCAAATATCAAAAAACTGAATTTTCTTTCATCTAACCGATATATATTCTCGTTCTCCATTTTTGGCGAAAAAAGGTGAAAAATAGAATAGGCTAAATTTAATAATGGTCTCAATTTTTTTCCCCAAAGGCAATATTTCAGGACTTTTTTTCTATCCTTCTAGAAACATTGATGAGTTGAAATCAGAAGAGTTTGATAACATAGTAATTTTTTCCCCAGGTTCGACCTATTCCACCGACCTATAAACCGTAACATTCTGATCAGGAAAGCATAATTTGTTTTACGGTGAATATACCCGTAGTTAATTATCAAATAAATTAATAAAGGTACATTTATAGCAATGAATGCTGTCAAGGGAGTCGTCATGGTCAATTTCTATTTGCTCAGGACCGTATACGTTATGAAATGTATATATAATGTTTTCATCTTTGATGTAATGTATTTTCCATTTAATAAAAGCAATATTACATTTCTCTTGACCATTTGCATTGCCACCTGTGTGTAGTTGATGAATAACTACGAATAATTTACTTTGATTTCCTGATCAGGGCGTACTCAGGACCGCTTAAACTATAATATGCAATAACGCGATAAAAAAAAGTACAGATATTTAATTGATTTCTATGACACTTGCTGTTTCGAGGACAGTCCAACCGCCGCCCCCCCCCNAAAAGAAAAGGGAGGGATACAAAGATTTATAGATTTATATAAAACATGCAAAACGCACAGGCTTAAAAAGTCAGTTGTTTAGTAACCTTTATACCAATATAAAATAGAAGAGAAAGTAGTAACGCCTTTCTCAGGAACAATAAAGGTAACAAATACAGTATCCTGAGATAAAAGTCAGACTAGTACGTGGAAGATGTTTAGGATAATGGCAATAAGGAAACGTATTTAACTTCGTAGATAACAATCAAATAGGATAGACACATGGTGTCCAGTTTCAAACCTTACTTGTACACGTACACTACAGGGTACAGGGTTAAATGAACAGAAAACTAACACGTTCTGTCAAAGTTAGAATTCAACCTGAATTTATAAGCGTATCGGAAACAAAGACAAGCACCAAGGTGCTTTCAATTATACCAGCAGTAGTACATGGCTGACAGTGTTGTCTATTACAGTCCTCTGTGTAAATGAACATTTTCTTATGTTTAATCTTTGTATATCTTGATGTTGTATCCACGTGTAGATGATCTTTTCGTGATGTTAAAATATGTCGGATACTTCATAGTCATATTTTGTAGACATCGTGCTAGTATTGGTCAAGTACCTAGGGCGGATACCATTCCCACTTGAAATTCCATCTAAGGCGCTGACCAGATGCGCTACGCATGCGCTGGTATCAATCAAATAACTTCAGAGTCAACGCATGATTTGTTAGCTTAACGTTGTAGGAGGTTAGTTAACCGGGGCAAGTTATCGTTAAAGCATGTGTACTCTTTCCTATACGCATTATTTCTTCCAACGTATACGTTAATTATATAAATTGATACGGCTTATCTTCAACACTTTCCTACATTCTAAAGTGTTTTATCTATATATTGTTATAATCGTACAATGTTTAACATGGCGAACATAGCCTTGATCTCTCATAGACCCCATTGTCAGTTGCTTCATTGTATATTCTACAACATAACTAACGGCCTTGACTGTAGATTAGACTGGTTAACAGCCACTAAGTTTCCAGAAATTTCTAAGCTTCACTTTTCTACTCGGTAGTCTGGCCCTAAATAGGAATTTAGGAATCAGACATCCAATTGATAAAAAAACTATTTGAGTCGTTATTTTCTGAATTGTTCGATATTATATATAGAGATTTGGGCCAGTCGAACTGTAGACTATATGACATAGGACAATCAGGGAGATTTTACTGTCAATCAGGATTTTACTGTCAATCAGTTTCTGAAAGGTTGAAATAAACCTATACGATCACTAGCCATCCATTGGTACGAGCAAGCTTTCACCACATATATTGCATCCACAGATACTGCATCTGTTGTCATGAAACCAGCATTTAATTATAGAATGCCACTGTTTTTAGCTAAGGCGTTAGCCGCCAGCTATTGGTATTACTTTAGTTAATGAGCTCAAGATATTCATAAATGTCGTTTTCACACAGACGCCGCCCTAGCGGTACTTAATGGTACTAAATTGAATCAAATACCGGACCTTCTGTCTTTATTATGCGTAACTTTGGACTCAAATGCACTTGAATGGCTTGTAAATATCATTCCTTTCCTTGGTAGAACATATGATCTTATCAAAACGTCGTATTCTTTTTGAAAATGCACCCTGATTATCTCAATCGGGAACTGCCACTTGACTAGGTCATGCAAGCTACACGCAACTTCCGGTAAAAATATAATGATTAATAAAATGTTTTCTACGTGGTTTATCAAAGACATAAATAAAACGGTAAATATTAACTAAATATATTTTTTTCGACTTCAAAATACGTTTTGTATCGTTAGCAAGGCAGTTAAAAGTTTCGAAATTTTCGGAAATGTTCGGCCTCGATATACCCGTGATGCAACCGGATGTTTACATCTTCCTGATTGCCAATTGATAGCAGCTGACCTCTCAACGACCTCTCAACATCATCAACAACCATCATCTCAATTCTATTGCCATCGGCAGAAAAAAATGTAAGTACTGAATATGTTTATATTTTATCTATCGTTTGTGTAAATTACGTTTTCTATCACCAACACATTTTTGGTCCATACGACTTTTTTTTACAACAATATACCACCATCCACCATTAGCCGCCATTACATCATTTTCGATTTTTCACAATGTGTTTGCTAAAATAAAGATGTGTCATCATTTCATCGCATCATGAAGGTTTATATAGTCGGATTGTAGTAAGAGTAGTAAGTTCAGTGAGATGGTATCAAATTATGACTGTTTGTTTACCCCTCAAACTTGTTTACATACGAATTCATTGTCCGTGACGTCGGGGCTCCTCCTCCGGCTTATAAATGCGATCGTCATAGCCAATAACATGCCGTAGTTGTTGGTCACTATGAG